AGTTCCCCCACACAGCTCTTTCCAGCAACGCCCCTGCCTGCCCGGAGCACAGCCCCAGCCCAGCCCCCTGCCAGAAAGAGGCTGACGCAACCCCGGCCCTGAGCCTGCAGCAGCAACCCACCCTTGCCCTGTGCACAGATCTGAGGGGCACATGCCCCCCATACCTCCCCCAGGATGCATGCAGTAGAGGGACCCGCTCCCTGGACAAGCTGCGGTTCTGTCTCACGTCCCGCCCCCACTGTGCATCACCTGCCCCAGTCCTGGCCCCACTCCCTCTCCCTCTCCCTCCCTCACCGTAGGAGCCTTGATCTGCCCTGTCCCATGCCCCTTTCCTCCACAGACTTACGAGCTGGATGCTGCTTTCCAAGCTGCTGGTCTGCAGTCCTGGCTGTGTGCATGCTACGGCTGCGCACGTGCATGTGGCATTTATAGGTGACATTATGGGCCACATCAGCCAAAGAAAGCCAATTGCTAATAATGTTATTTTTCCTTTTATTGGTGCCAATCTGATATGGACCAGTGTATCAGTGCACCTCTATTGTTGATGGCATAGTTCTAAATGCAGTTTGGCCGTGACCCAGTTATAATAGGATTGTCTTAAAAAGCATGTCTTTATATGGAAAATAGAGAGTCAGTTGTTTCACTGTGAAGAGCTATGAACATGCCTAATTGGTGCACTGGATTTGTGTGTAGTGTACATTCTTGTGTTTCTTTGAAAATGTTGCTACAATACATGTATTGTCTCAGCTGCAAAGGAAGTGACGCGAACTGAAAGTATTTATTTGTCTCAATATAGCAAAAGCTTTAACTTCAACTAAGCTTTCTTTAGGCATTTCTGCAAACTCTGGCAATCACTTCACTATGAAGTAGTTAAGAAGTCTTCCTGGAACTGGATTAATTTGTAGTTCAGTTTACCACATTAAAGTTACATCTCTGCCACTCCCATGCACTTGAATTATTTTAAATTTTTGTTTTTCCTTGTAAACTGCAGAAATCCTGATGATGAGAGTGTACTGAGGAGCAATGCAGAGACATATTCTTAAAATAGGGGGGAGCAATAGGCAGTACATCTCTGAAATGTTTTGAATATTTATACTGATACTTAGGACAGTGACTACTGCCAGATGTAGGGTTTTTTAAAGGAACACTGTTTGGATGAATTATCTGAAACTAAGAAACCTAATTCACTTTTTTCAAGACAAGTATGTCATCAGAACAAAGTAAAATAGGAAGGAAGGTTGGTTTTGTTCTCAAGATGATGTTTGGAAGCTTTTGGGTGGTTCTCCAGAATCTTATTTGTTTTTTCTCTCTACTGTCTGTGTAAATATCTGACTGCTTCCTCATTATTTTCTATTTGTTTTTCTGCTAGTTTTACTAGTGACACTCTTGCTATGGGGGGAAAAATATTCCTGTAAACTGTCACAACAACAGTGTATGAATGTGAATTCAGCTAACTGTAAAAGGCACTGAAAAATTTAAAATTAATTGTGTGTCCTCATTTTACACTATAAGTTATTGAAATTGTTGACTTCGGTGGCTTAATATGCTACCATTCCCAACAGAAGGCTCAGGATGGCTTATAATAAAAGACAAAATAATTTATAAAATCAGATAAAATATTAAATAAAATGTATATGGTACAACAGAAACTTCCCAAAGAACTTAACTTTGCTTCCTAAATGCTTATCCAAATAAAAAGGTCCCACAATGCTCCCAGAAGATGCTCAGGCTCTGGCAGGCCACAAGGGGGAGGAAGTTTGAGAATGACCTCTCATATATTTTGCCAAGTGATCTTGTTGCACTGATGATACTTGTAGAAGGTTGTTTTCAGCTGACCTTATGAATTAAAGTGGGACATAAGGTAGAAGACAGTCCCTTAAGTACATAGGGCCTAGACCATTCAGACCTTATAGGTCAAAGCCAGCACCTTGAGTATTGCATAGAAAGCTATTAGAAGCCAGTGCAGACTCTGGAGCACTGGAGTAGTTGTCTCCTGGCACCTATCCTATAGTGTGTGAAAGGTCATCAGCACCATTCCCACATAGAGTGCATTGCAGTAGCCTAGCCCTGAGGTTATGAAAGTGTGGACAGAGGTGGCAAAATCTGACTCTGAAAGAAAGGGTTGCAGCCTTTAACCAGGTGATGCTTCTGGCCATTGCTATGACCTGTTGATTCAGGTGCAGCAAGAGGATCCAGGAGAACCCCAAGGCTGTGAACCTGAGTGAAAAGGGAAGGCTAAACCCCACCCATGATGTGTGTTCCTATCCCCCATCAAGTCATGAGGTCTGCCAAACAACCATCACCTTTGTCTGGTATAAGTCCAGCTTCAATTGGTTCACCTACTTTGAGGTAGGGCATTGGGTAAGGACTGAGAAAGCGTGAATCAGATCAGATGGGGTTGTGGGGGGGTCATCAGCATTTAAAGTTGCCTTGTTATATACTTAAATCTAATGCGTAACAATATTTTACATATCTTTAAATTTTAAAACATGTCATGTTTTCCTGTCTCTAAAAGGGAGTTCCAGGAGTTGGAAAAGAGCAGGCATTAAAGTTACTTGAGACTTTACAAGGTCAAAGTTTACTGCAAAGGTAAAGTTTACCTTGTATCTTGAAACATTTTCATTTTATTGGAACATAGGAGTTATCATACATTTTGAGTTTGACTCTCTTACCCACATTTTACTTTCCAAAAAAAATGTAATATGAATAAATATATGTGTACAAATGATGCATTCTGTCATGTAATGTTTTGAATTGTTTAAAACTGTATTACCTCCTAGTCACTGGTCCTGCAAAAAGTTGTAAATGTGTGTGGGATCCAACATATGAAAAATATCAGAAAGTCCTTTTTTATCAAGACCTTGGATATTAATATTTTCTTGTATGACTATTGTCTTAATGTGTGTCAAGCCAGAAATGCCAGTAACCTGACATGATACCAAAAAGAACATTTTATAGCAAACAAACTGTAATGGAAAACTGTTTACTTCTAAAAGTGAAGGAATACATGTTGTGATAATTTTGTTTCTTGTGGGGGAAGAAGGGCAGGGAGATTGAATATGTAATTTTTATGTACATGTGCTGTACAGGATAACACTTGCACTATTTTAACATTTAGAATATCCTTATTTTAGGTTTAATCAATGGAAAGAGCAGTTTCAGTATGATGATACTCCATCTTCAGCTGTTAAAAAGGTGACTCATTGTTCTGTGTGTCGTCATCCAGGTCAGTGTATTTTTAAATATAACTAATGTGCTTGTATCTATATGTCCACACACATTCAGTTTCTGAAACATGCTTTATTTCACTCTTCGTTGTTATTAGGATCACATAAGGAACATGAGCGCAGTGGATGTAAACTCTGTGGAAGTGTTATGTACTGTGAACCCCATGATGCTGAGTTCTGCTGCCCCTGTGAATGGCATCATTCAGAGCAAGAGAAGAAGAAAAACATGGTGGAGGACAATATCAAAAAGTAGGAATATCTTTAAAAAACAGTTAATCCGTATTGCTTTCAGGTGCAGGGTAAGCATGCAAGTCTTGCATCATGCCCTTTTCTGTCCTGTTTCTAATGCATATGTTTCACTTGTAGAAAAGCAAGAAGTTGTGAAGGCTTTCCATTCTATGAGGTAACTAATAAGCCTGCTAAATGTTCATTTTGAAGCACTAAATTGAAATTTCCTCTGATTTTCTTTAAAATACCCTCTTTTTCTTTTGCTTTCTTTCCAGGTTATCCAAGAATTTCTTGTCAACAAGAATAAATTGAGTAAGATAATGGAGTGCCAAAGGCCAAATTTATTAACCTTTCAGGTACAGAACAAAATACTGAAAATTTAACACTCTTATTTTTAATTTAGTAGTAAGCAACGTACTTGACAATATAGATTTTAATTAGTTTTTATTGAAAGTAAGAATAAAGGAACCTGGTTCCAACCTTAAATATACATGAGATCATAGGTACTGAGTATGTTGGGGGCCCATGGGCCCTGGTCCCCCTTGGGACGAGGTCCCAAAATGGGAACATCAAGTTCCGGTCCTGGGCTGCATGACTCCAAAGCATTTGTCCCAGATTCCTGGTATCATGAAGGGATCCAGATTTTCCATTCATTGTGGAAAAACATTGGAAACAGCAGGTTTCCCCTTGCAGTCTGGGAGAGTTCCAGCCTGCAAGGGGATAGGGGGAATGGGACGCAGGGGCACCATGTGCATGCAGGGGCAACGCGTAGGGGGTGCACACGGGTGCATGTGCACCCCCTGAGTGTGGCAGTGCACCCCCTACAAAAAAACCTGCGGGCTGTTGCTGCTCACCACGTGTCTCCGAGTGGTCTGCAATCCCTGCTGGACGACGCTGCCGGCAGTGGCTGTGGGTGGTCACTGACCCTTGGTCAGCGCTCGCCACTCCCCTCTGACAAAATTCAGGAGCAACCCGAAGTGAAATTGACTGTAAATAAAAATAAAACTGTCTAGACAGACTTCATTTTCAGGTTCAGAATTTCTAATGGCAATTAAAAAGTTTAACTGAAGTAATCTGATTTTTAATATGTCCGTATTATTAAGCTAATATTGTTAGGAATCAAAGGTAGGATTTGCTTATATGCCTTAATTTGATAGTATCCCACATGGGCAATTTGTAAGATCTTAAGTACTGAGCAGCATGTAGCATTCTGCTAAATCAGAACAGATGCAGAAGGTTCCATGAAACAAGAACATGATGCGGAGGAATGAGAATTTTGCTGGAAGTCATAAATTAATAGAAAAAATATGCAAGTAAAGAACAAGTAGGAATAACAGGCAGAAGACATGAGACTTCTCAGGAAAAAAAGATAAAGATTTGATGGCAACTGCAGTAGTGTGGTACAATTGTCCTGGGTCAGAGGTGTCCAGCTTTATGCTGTTAAGGGTTTTCAGTAGGACAGTTACGTTTCAGGCATTGCAGGGATAAAGCTGCCACCAGGGGGAAAGTGTGGTAACATTAATGTGTTAATCCATTGCAATAGGTGTTAAGATGCTAGAAACCACTTGACTTTCAATAAACCTGTATAGGTATGGACAGATGCAACAGAACAGTTAAATGCAGTTTGAAACTCAGGTGTCCAAATGTACAAGCCAGTTGAGAATGGTTCAAATCTTCTGAATGGTTTCAAAAGTAGACCTGAATAATCCAGTATTATTTTGAACCAGTATTCTGTGAACAGATCCAGTATTACACACAGGCATCGAACTTTCTGTGTCTGGTGTCTGAATGGTCCTCCAGGCATTCCAAACCCTGCATGGCAGCTGACTGCTCTGGTACACAGCCAGATCTCTGGTGCTTCCACCTCTATTTTCTGTACTTGACCACAGTGTCCCTTTTCATCACTTTTAAAAAGCTGTTCAGTTTCCTTCTGTTGGCGGCAGTTGACCAACATTCTGCATATCCCAAGCTTATTGGGGTGGGATGTAGGAGTGGTTAGGTTGAGGGGTTTTCTGGACCCTACTTCTGGGTGCTGAGGGCTTAGGGACAGCTCTCTGCTGCTTTTAAAGAGCTGGTCGACTTCGGTAGCAGGAGAGTCTTTGGGAAAGCCACCAGAGTCCCCAGGCACACACAAACAGGGTTCAGGACCATCTCTTTAAAAGTGGTAAACATCCCCCCCCCAGGCACACACAAGCAAGTGTTGAAGCAACACCTCCACCCTCAAATCAGTCTGAGATGCACTGAACACAATACTGATCAGTTTCCAAGAACTGAAATCAACTGATGCCTCCCCTTCCTTTCTCACCCAACCCCCTGTAAAATGCACACACCTAGGTATTCCCAGCCAGGGTACCATGACAGATTTTGTAGGGGGCAGGAATAGGTCTTCATTGAACTCAATGTTAGTTAGAAGGGCAAGCAGAATATTGCACAATCACAGCCCTGAGTGGTGGTATGATGACACTGCAATGTCTAAAGGGTGACCAACCTATTTCAAATGCTTAGCGTTTGGATGCCTCTGACCTAGGACAACTGTGAACCGCTTTCTAGTTAGTGACATTGGAATGGCTCAAGTGTTATGTCTGTTCATGCCCTATGATTCTTGATGTTGTATCACTTCTCTGATTCTTAAATCCATACTTTTGTTGAACTGTTGAACTAGCCTGAATACTCATAGCCTACTAATTACTCCTCATCTATACATTAATCAAACTCAAGGACATGTTAACTTGTTTCTAGTGAAACAAAAGGCAACATTATTAGCTGGAAAAAGGTTTCTTTAAAGTGTATTTGCTTTGAAAACTCTGGCTAACACACTTGAAAGGAATCATTTTTGTAGAAAAATTTAGGGTGCTAATCTCTGAATAGATTAACCCTTTCTGCCTCAAGCAGATCCTGATCTTCTCCAACCTGATGTAGAATTCTAATTACTAAAATCACCCAGAGCAATGATATGACTATGTAGATTCTGCCTCCTTAAAAACTCCTTAAAAACTCAGGATTCTGTTTGGTGTGGAGGTAAGATCACATCCTGAGGAAAAAGTTTAGGGTGTACCTTCTCTGGGCAGGCAATAATTTGTTTTGATGATCCACTTGTGCAGATTCAAACCTAGGCCACTTTAAGCTGCTCTAAGTGATCTTTTAGCTCAGGACACAGTTCGTTTAGCAGCAGTTCCAGCAGGACCTGAAGAGAAGTAAAAAATATATATACATTCAAATGAATA